ACAAAGAACCCTGCACAAAGACCGCCAATCGTGGTCTGTACTGCTACGCAAATGCAAGGAGGCCCATATGCATACGCATCACATTACGCCCTCTCGGGAATACGTAAACTCGGTGCGTGTACGTCACTTGCCAGTCCAAATGCGTCGCATTACGCAGCCCGTCGAACGCCTCCCCCTTCAAAAATAAATAGAAAACGTCAATACATACACGTAATCATCGCGTGCGTGACGGTGCGATGGCCCTGTGGTTGCCTCATACGTACCACGTGTCACGTATACGGATTATGGATCTCCGCCGGTGCGCCGCGGCCCGCGGAGGGCGGGGCGTCTTCGACGTATCACGTATCCGCATTACGCATACGTCCTTTTCACCGCAAAGCTTTGCCCCGGGGACGGTGCAATGGCCCGCGCGGCGGGTGCCTTACGTACCACGTCTCACGTTTCCGGATTATGTATCTCGCCCCGCGCGCCCCAGAGCCCCCCCCCCCCCTTACGTATCACGCATACGCATTACGCATTACGTATTTTTCATCCTTCGTAGTCCAAGGCAACCCTAGCCAACTTACGGCAGCCCGAGCGGCAGCGCCAGTGCGCGCACATAAAGGGGGGTGGGTGGGGGGTTAGGGGGTGGCTGTCGAGGGCTATGCCCGAGTCTGTTGTTACCAGCGCACATACAACCCTAGCCAACTTATGGCAGCCCGAGCGGCAGCGCCAGTGCGCGCACATAAGGGGGGGGGGGAGGGGGGTTAGGGGGTGGCTGTCGAGGGCTATGCCCGAGTCTGTTGTTACCAGCGCACATACAACCCCAGCCAACTTATGGCAGCCCTAGCGGCAGCGCCATTGCGCGCACATAAAGGGGGTTGGGGGGGGGATGCGTAATACGTATGCGTAATACGTGAGGCGTAACCCCCGTCGGCCGCCACTTCTCACTCGAATCCGGAATGCGTGTGCGTAGTACGTGGTGCGGAGGCCCTCTCCGACACCTTGGGCGTGCGAATGCGTAAAACGTATGCGTAATACGTGAGGCGTAACCCCCGTCAGCCACCACTTCTCACTCGAATCCGGAATGCGTGTGCGTAGTACGTGGTGCGGAGGCCCTCTCCGACACCTTGGGCGTGCGAATGCGTAAAACGTATGCGTAATGCGTGAGGCGTAACCCCCGTCGGCCACCACTTCTCACTCGAATCCGGAATGCGTGTGCGTAGTACGTGGTGCGTAGGCCCTCTCCGACACCTTGGCAGCACCTTGGGCGTGCGAATGCATCAAGCGTATGCGTAATGCGTGAGGCGTAACCCCCGCCGGCCGCCACTTCTCACTCGAATCCGGAATGCGTGTGCGTAGTACGTGGTGCGGAGGCCCTCTCCGACGCCTTGGGCGTGCGAATGCGTAAAACGTATGCGTAATACGTGAGGCGTAACCCCCGTCGGCCACCACTTCTCACTCGAATCCGGAATGCGTGTGCGTAGTACGTGGGGCGTAGCGCGCCTTGAGAGGCACACCCCGATCGGCCGAAGGTGGATGCAGAAGACAGATTCGTAATACGCAAGACATTTGTAGCTCCCTCAGGCGCCACTTGGCTCGGGCACGACACCGAAATACGCGACGTCTGGCCGACGCACTATGGATCGCGGGCGCGTGTATTTACATAACATGGCCGATCTGTGCATTCTGGGCGACTACATATGCGTAGCAGTACAGACCACCTCCCAAGACCGCAGGGCGGGGACCTGTTCCTTTTTACCCATCTCCTAGTAGAGGTGTCCGTTTTATTTATTTATTTATTTGTGCGGTTGCCGACTGCACTCGAAGTGCTCCATTGTGGCACGGCCCGCCCTTCTAAGCCACGACAATGCCATGACCATATCGCGCCGTTGCGAGCGCCGCCACCGCCTCCCACGCATTGGTCGCGGGGTCGTAGCGCTCCACCGAGCTGGATGCGTTACCCGTGTCGCCGTCGTACCCGCCCACAGCGTACAGTTTCCCATCGAGCACCGGCACGCCGGGGTGGTTCCGAGCCACCGCCGTCGGCGCCACCGCCTCCCACGCGTCCAACGCCGGGTCGTACCGCTCGACCGAGCTGAGGTGGCCGCCATTCTCGTGGTTGTAGCCCCCCACAGCGTACAGCTTTCCGTCGAGCACTGCCACGCCGTGAGCAGCCCGCGCCCTCGCCATCGGCGCCACCGCCTCCCACGCGTCCAACGCCGGGTCGTACCGCTCGACCGAGCTGAGGTGGCCGCCATTCTCGCGGTTGAAGCCACCCACAGCGTACAGCTTGCCGTCGAGCACCGCCACGCCGTGACAGTTCCGCGCCTCCGCCATCGGCGCCACCGCCTCCCACACATTCGTAGCAAAGTCGTACCGCTCAACCGCGCTGAGGGGGCCGTCGTCGTCGCGCTCGCCGCCGACAGCATACAGCTTGCCTTCGAGCTCTGCAGCTGCGAGAAATGCGCGTGCTGTCGTCATCGGCGCCACCGCCTCCCACGCATTCGTAGCAAAGTTGTACCGCTCCACCAAGCTGGAAGCTGGGCCGTCCTCGCCAATGCCGCCCGCCGCGTAGAGGTTGCCATCGAGCACTCCCATGCAGACATCTTCACGTGCCGTTGGCATCGGCGCCACGGCCTCCTCCTGCCACTCATTGGTTGTCGGGTCGTACCGCTCCAGCGAGCTGTTGGCGTCGTTGTTATAGCCGCCGCCCTCGTAGTCACTGCCTTGGCCGCCGATCACGAGCATGCGCGGCCTCTTGCGCTTCTTCAGCGTCTCCTTCCAGCCGCGGCGCCACGCGCGGCACGTCGCCTTGACCGAGTGCTCCTTGGTCGGCAGCTGGGCGAGGATGTGCGGGGCGAGGTCCGGCGAGAGGAGGACCTCGGAGAGCACCCACTCAGGCTGCTCCACGAGCCGTGCGGCGTGCTCGTCCGCCACGCGCAGCGCGGCGGCGCTCCAGAGCGGCGCCTGCTTGTCGATCAGCTCGATCAGCTGCTCTTGCGAGAGGCCCGCGAGGCGGGCGCCGATGCGGTGGGAGGCCATGGCGCAGTTCGCAGCGTTTTCTTTTCTCAAAAGAATTTAAGCGAGAGCAACAATTAATTAATTTTTTGTGGGTTTACGAGGACCCGGGGCAAATGCGGTGGGAGGCCATGTCCGGACAGCAGAAGAAGAATTCGCTCGTGTTTCTCCCCGGAGTCGCTTTTGCGGCTCCCGTGGTGTACCTGTGTTAGTGCCAGTGCGCGCCAGTCCCGTGCCCAGTGTTGGCGTGAAAATTCATGTGAGCGAGCGTTTAAATTCTTCTTTTAGGCCTATACGCACGTCCCCAGCGCCCGATCTCATCGTCATGAAGGGCTTGAAGTCGCTCCGGCCCATCTCGCGTACTCGCGACGTCGTGCTGGAAGGGACAATCGAGACGACCAACTCGCAGATCGCAAAGTTCGTCGAGCGGATGATAGAAGACTTGGAGGAGGACCCTGTGCGCTGCAGCCACCTCAATGGCGATGCGATGCCGCTGCCACACCCGCATTGCCCTCGCACATAGACATATGCCCACCGAAACGGCACACCGCATCAGCTCTTGCCTAACCGCTCCGCCGCGCCCGCTCGCAGTGGATGCCGCCGCTCTTCACAAGGGGCCTGAGGCGAGGGTGGGGCGGCGTGTGGCCCGCAGTCGCGGACGCGGTGCGAGAGCACATTCTCGTCAACAAGAGCCATACCAAGCACGATGACGCGGAGCTAGCGCAGGCGACTCCCCCTGCTGCACATAAATAGACAGCCACGGGCCCAGATCGCACCTGTGTGGTCACTACCCTGCTTCAAACACGCTTCAAAGCTCATAACTGTCCCGCCCGTATGCAGAGCCGCCAGGCTGCCAAGCGCCTCTCCGACTGGCCCTCCGCCCCGGAGCTCGACGGGTGCGGAGGAGGGCTCTACACGTGGGCGCGCGCAAAGCTGCTCTACTCGCTCAGGCCCGCAGACAAGCCCTTCATGTGGGTGGCGCAGCAGCCGCTTGCGCTCGCCTGGCTCGGCGCGTCCCTCTGCCCCTTCTACTTTGTCTCGCTGCCGCCGCTCGCCCTCCTCCTCCTCTTCATCGACAAGAGCGACGAATACCAGCTGATCAGCTTCATTGCCCTCGTCAAGGCAGAATAGAGCTTTTGCTAGAGCTAAGACTCCGAGCCATTGCAGCCGCTCAGCACCTGTGACCGCAGGCCTGAGCTCAAGGAATGTGAGCGAGAGCGTACCTGCCTGTCAGGCGAACTGGGTGGTTCAGCAGCTCGTCATGATGCTCGTCGGCCTCGCCGAGCTCTACTACTGCACCACCACCCTCTCTTGCAACGAGGCAGCGCCCGGCATGTCTGTCCGAGGGCAGACCGCGGCGGTGACACTGGTTGCGCTCGAGGCGCTCGTGGCGGGTACGTTTCTCTCCTACCTGCACACGCGCCGAGTGCGCTGGCTTGCCTTCAAGCGGGTCGAGGCGGTGCGTTCGGCGGCGCGACGCGGGGTGGCGCACCGGCGAGCCGCGTCGACGGCATGCACAGCTCTCGACCTTGTCGCCAGCGCGCAGCAAGGGCTCCTCGACACGGCCGCCGCCGCCGCCTCTGCCGCAGGGCTTTCGGCGGGGGCAGTCGACCTGCCCACGCCGGACCTTGGCGTCAAGGGCGCACTGACCGTCTTCGTTTTACGTGCCCGGGGTCTAGAGAGCACGGACCGGAATGGGCTCGCCGATCCGTATGTGAAGGTGACGGTCGGCAGCACCACGCGCAAGACCAAGGTGATGCCTCGCACCCTCGACCCGGAGTGGTTCGAGCGGCTCGGATTCGAGGGCGTGCTGCGGGACATCGTCGCAAAGCCGGTGCAGGTGGTGGTGTACGATCGCGACGTGCTGACGCGCGATGACAAGCTCGGTCAACGCGCAAGATACCTTCCCTGCTCTCTATCCTTCATTGACGCGTCCCGGTCACGCCTATCAGGCGAGGTAGCGCTCGACCTGAGCCTTCTTCTGCTCCAGCCATCGACCTCGCCGCGGCGCACTCACCAACTTCACCACCTCCACTTCCAGGACGGCAAGCAGGGCCTACTCTCGCTCGAGGTCGGCTGGGCCCCGCAGACCGACCCCTCCCCCGCCGCCTCCACCGTGCCCTCGGCGGGTGCGTCGCCGACGCAGCCCCGCCGAGACTACCTCGACATGCACGCGCGAGGAGAGCTTGCTGTGCACCTCTTCCGCGGCGGCGCTCTGGCTCCCAAGGGCAGCAGCAGCAGCGCCGACCCGTACGTCGTCGCGAGCATCGGCAGGCAGCGGCGCAAGTCGAAAGTGGTGCGGCAGACGCGCGCCCAGCGAGAAGCAGGAGCGCCAAATCACCGCGCTTGCACTCATGGCTTGGACTGTGAATAGGCTGCAGCCCGAGTGGGACGAGCGGCTGACCTTTGACGGCGTCCTCAGCGACTTTATGGGCAAAGTGCTCCACCTACAGGTGCTCGATAAGGGCCGCTTCCGTTCGGAGCCTCTCTCCGAGTGCGAGGTGCCGCTCGAACCTATCTTGTGCGAGCTCGAAGAGTCTGCCGCCCCCGTCGTACGCTGGGAGCTGCCCTTGACTGCGACCGGGCCGTTCAACGCAACGAGCGGTCACCTTACCATCGCCATCGATTGGCTGGAGCGGCGGCCGGCGGCGAGGAAGGACGAGGACGCGTGTGCCGTCGCGGCCGCTTCGTCGTTTGGCGGCGCGGCCGCGTCGTCGGCTGGGGCCGAGACATCTCTTACCAGCGGGGAGGCGGTCCCGCGCGCCCCAACGAAGATGCCGTCGCGGATGGCGTCGCGACCAGCGATGCGCTTCATCGACGCGCACGCCTACGGCGAGATCGAGGTACATGTGCGCAGCGCCCAGAACTTGGAGGCCAAGGACGCGCGCACCCAGTCCTCCGACCCGTACGTGCTAGTGCGGCTCGGCCGGCAGCGAAGGCGGTCGAGGGTCGTGAAGCGTAGCCTCTTCCCGCTCTGGGACGAGCGATTAGCCTTCGAGGGCTTCCTTGGCGAGCTTGTGCAAGACGAGACGCTCCTTGTCAAGGTGCTCGATCACGATATTGGCAGCACAGACGACGACCTCGGCGAGCTAGAGCTCGAGCTCGGCCAGCTGCTCAGCGAGGGTTCCATCACTCTCACCGACGTGCCCCTCGCCGCCGCGAAGCACGGATCCATCTCGCTCTCCGTCTCCTGGTACCCCTTCGAGGACATCGTCGGGCCGTGGGAGCGCGTCGCCACTTGTGGCCGCATCCCCTCCAAGCGGCAGCGAGCGGAGCCGCGGAGCGACCGGGTTACGCGAGGGGTGGTTGCAGTGGACCTCGCCTTTTTGCTGGGCATCTCCTTTCTCGCCTCGGCCGATCTCATCTATCGCGTCAACGGGTGCGGCCCGCTCGGTATTGTCACCGACATCGCGGCGCTCTGGACGCGTTTCCTCACCCTCGAGTCGACGAGCACGGAGCGTGGCGTCTGGTGGCTGCTCTCGGTGCTCTCGATGGCGACGGCACTGCCTTACCTCCTGTTCCTCCTGCCAACGATCGGCGTCATCCTGCTCCGACTCGAGCTGACGGGGTACGACAAGAGGGGAACGCTCCGATCGGTGCTCAGCCACCGCAAAATGGTGCGCGAGATCCCTTGCGGAGCGCCGCCCTCCCGCTCCTGCTCCACCCGCCGCCGCCGTGATCCGCTAGGTGAAGCTGCACTATATGCAGAACGAGGGGGCGAAGCCGCGCGGGGGGCGAGGCCGGGTGGGGAAGAAGCGCTCGGCGGTCGGGGCGCTGGTGGGCTCCGCGGTGGGCACGTTGGTGGGGCAACGCTACACGGCGTTGATATGAACCTACTCGACGCGCGCCGAGCGGGGCGAGGCGTTAGGCTTAGGGCACAGCATGGGGCACAGGGGTCAGGCGACGGCGGAGCGGGGGGTGCCTCTGTTTTTTGACAAAAGAGACCATTACGGCTTCACGGCTTCACGCGAAGCTCTCTCGGAAATAAGCTGCCCTCACACTTCTGACCG